CAGCTTGTCTCGCAGACCCAGGCCAGCTCCATTCCACACCTGCTGCTGTCCTTGGTGGTCGTCCCATGGTCCCGGCATCTCCAAAAAGCTGGGGTCTCCACTGAAACTGAGGCTGCACCCTCACCAATGTCCTCTTCTGGCCTCTCAGGATGCAATGCCTCAGATTCTCTCCATGACCCCTTCAATCCTGGGGCCTTTGCTGCAACTGCGTGCCAATCCTCAGCTGCTCTCTGTGACCCCTTCACACTTTCAACACCAGGACCATGCAGGAGACTCTTACACATTACCAAGTCCTGCTTCCAGGTTGAGATAGAGGCTGGGGTCCCCTCTGTGTGCTGTCCCTGAGGAACTACCTCCCAGAAGACTCCACCACAGTGATGCTGGTCTCTTGTTACTTACAGCTGATTTTTCAGCCCCAGCTAACCAGCATCAATTGTCCCAGTAAAGCAAAGGCTTTTACTTCAGGTTCTGGTCTTTTCTTAATCACAGCCCACAAATTCTCAATTTAAAATATCACACAAATAGCCCCGATAGTCTCTGCTTTCCCTTGAAACGTCACAAGCCAGGCCTCCATTGTCCACAACTCTTACAGCATAACTGTTCTAAGCTCCTCAGCAACAAACTCTAAGCACTCAATGGCTTTTTCAGCTCAAAGTTCCAAACGCTTCCACAATCCTCCTAAAAACACCAAGGTCAGGTGTGTCACAGCAATACCCCACTTCTGGTACCAATTTATGTCCTAGTTTGTTTCTCCATTGCTGTGACAAAACACTCTGACCAATCATTGCTGTGACAGAATACTCTGAGCACTACCAACTTGGGGAGGAAAGGGTTTATTCAGCTTACAACTCCCAGGTCGCAGTTCATCAGGGAGCCCAAGGTAGGAATTCAGGGCAGGAACCTGGAAGCAGGAACTGGAGCACAGGCCATGGAGAATGCTGCTTATTGGCTTGCTCCCCTGGCCCCTGCTCAACCTGCTTTCTTATGCAACACAGGCCCACCTGCCCAGGGGTGGCACCACCCACATTTCTCAACAATCAAGAACACGCCTCATGGACATGGCCACAGGCCAGTCCAATGAAGGCAATTCCCCTACTGAGGCTCCCTAACCCAGGTGTGTCAAGTTGACACTAAAGCTATCCAGGTCACATGTGTAGGGCAGAGGTCAACCTCTACTGTTGCTGTATTTTTGAAGCAGGATCTCTCTCACTGGCCTGGGGATGGATGATTCACTGGCTGGCCAGTGACCCCCAGGGATCGTCCTGTGTCTGCGTCCCAAGCACTGGTTTATTTTATATGGGTTTTGGGAATCAGACTCAGGTCCTCACACTTTCATGGCAAGTACTTTATCAACTGGGAGGAACAAGATGTGCCCGAAATCACTTGGTAGTAAAAGCCAGCATTGGAATTCCTGTCTATCGACTCTAGCCCTGAAGGCCACCCTCTTCCCACCTCATGTTGCAAGGAAAGAGCCTCTCATGGTTCCCAAGTACTTGCCAAGATGGAGTTCTTCAGATCGGATTAGACCCTGTGCTGGCTAGTTGTTTGTCAACTTGACACAACCTAGAGGAAATCTCAATTCAAGAATTACCTGGATCAGACTGGCTTGTGGCCATATCTGGGATGCATTTTCTGAATTGTTAACTGATGTAAGACGGGCTAGCCCACTGTGGGTCCTGCCATCCCTAGGCAGGTGGGCTTGGGCTGCATAAACAAGGTTAGCTGAGTAATCCGGGAGCAGCAAGCCAGTATTCCCCAGTGGTCTTTGCTTTAGTTTTTCTAGCCTGTACTCCCTAGTCGGACTTCCCTCAGTGTTGGACTGTAACCTGAAGTGTAAGCTAAATACACCCCTTCTTCCCCAAGTTAGTTTGGTCAATGTTTTATCACAGCTGCAAAAACAAAACAGACCATTAGTGGGCCTCGAGATCAGCCAGTGGCTTGTTTCACAAACAGCAGGATAGAGGGGAATATAACACAAAGACAATAACAGTACACGACACACACACTAAGTACAGTTTAGTAGAACTTGGTACCATGATTTCTCAGAGCTTAGCTACCTTATTCCTTACACTGGGAGTGAAAACGGGGCCCCCACAGTGTTGCAACAAATAGTAACAAATTTATAATCATAACATGGTTAGAACACATTATGTATGTACATGTCTGATATTAAGCCGTGACATAGAGTGTATTTCTTATTGCAGACTACAATTGTGATGCTTAAAAAATAATGAACTCACATGGTCAGAGGGCCCCCACAGTGTTGCAACAAATAGTAACAAATTTATAATCAGCTTATGTAAATAAAGGTTTATTGGCACCCAGCCAGAGTCTTGCTTATCCGTTGTCTGTGATTGCTTTGAGCCAGGATAGCAGAGCTCTGAGTACTTGTAACAGAAATTCTGTTGCCCACAAAGCCTGAAGTGAAGTATTTCCTGATGCTCTAGACCAGTGCCTCTGCCTAGCTACCCTCTTGTAATTCAGTGATATTAGACATCTCCTCCTAGGCTCAGTCCCTGCCCTTGCCAAGTACTTCCCATGCAGGTGATCTAGGCCATTTGACTGTGGATACTTGTGTCTTCAGAATCTCAATACCCTTCTGCTTTGGACTGATGCCTACAAGGTGGAAGGCTAGTGACATGATACTTGGTCAAGGTCCCGGTGGGAAACAGATGGTGACTCAAATAATTTGAGGAATGTTCAATAGAGACCGTCCACAAAGTTGAGGGCAGGGTGCTGGAAGGTCACAGAATGTAGGAAAGTGACAGAGAATTCAGAGTCAGTGAAAACAGAACTGTCACCGGTCTAGACCAGAGAGGTGATGACAAGGAGGGGGTTGATTTAGGAACCTGGAAGGAGAGCCCTTTAGAGAGGACACCTCACTGGGGGCAGAGACCTCGAGTCCAGGAAGGACAGTTTCAGATGACTTCAAGGGGACAGAGCCAGGAAGACAGATGCCCCAAGTTCTCTTCATTCATATCTCTTAAGCTTCCTGGTGGATACACAAAATGGACCTTGGTATGGCCCAGGGGGGTCAGTTCCCAAGAGAGAGCCAGGGAAAGGCAGGTAGTGAAATTGGAAGAGAAAATCTTTACCAGCTCACAGCATTGGCTTAGGACACAGGTGACCCAAGTCAGCTCCCTTAATCAAGGCATTCTCCACCAACAGGCTACCATGGCTTTTCCCTCTCACTGACCCCTCCTGCACCTACAGATGGTTATCACAGGTCTCTTCTCTCTGGGTCTTGTCCTCAGCAGAGGGATGGAAGGCTATGCACAGAGGCACACATATCTAATGTGTGTATGTCTACGTGTGAGCACGTGCATGTCTGAGCAGAGTCTGGTTAGTATGTGTAGACTAGATTTCTTCCTCACATCCTGTCTTTTGATCTCAGGCAGGGGCTGTATCCTGCTCATCTCTGCAGCCCAGTTCAACTACGACACTCAGACAATTCAACGTCTGTCCCCTTGACAGAATGTAAAAAAAAAGGAGGCTGATAAATGTCCCTAGAGTAATATGTCCTCATGGGCCAGGTCCCTTCTCCACACACACACACACATACACGCACTGTCCAGTCGCCTACCTGCATCTGATACGTTAGAGGTTATAGAATTCTAGCCAGTCACCTAGAGGGATGTCCTCTGCCAGTGCAAACATTCTATGAGAAACCATAAGCTCATTGGGAGGCTGAGAACTGATGGGAGATTCTGAGTGTCCATCTTTAACATAAGCCCCAAACTGAAGTTAATCTTGGAGGCTTGAGAATGGACTTGGCAAAAAATACAAAGTGTGATTTGACCTCAGTCAATTTCCTTGTTGGATTCAGCTCCTGAGATGGTACTTCTGAGCCCTGCCTCCACCCGTACCCAGGAAACATTGTGCAGGCTGAGATCACACACATGAGCCCAGCCCACCCTTCAAAATGGTTTGCAACAGGGTGGAGGCCAGGCTTGAGTCAGACTATCAATGATCAAAAGTCATGGCTTCAGCCTGTCAGTGACTGCTTAGCTTTGAACTTGCTCCTTTTCACGTGGATGAAAATACATTTCATGTCCTATACGTGTGCACTGTCACCAACCACCGAATTAGAGGAAATCCAGTTCGACACAGACAAGTCTGTAGGCCACAAAGGCCAACAAACTATACTTTTTTGTTTGTTTGTTTTCTTTTCTCGATTGGATAACTAGTGGGTTAATTACTTTCATCAAAAAAACCAATTTGCTTGAGCATTGCCAGCAGTCTATGCGCTAACCTTAAGGAATGGAGACTCTTCCCTCCTTCCCATCAAATTTCTTCTTTGGAGAAATGAGGAGTTGAAACTCTGAGCCCAAGAGCTCACGTTTTTAAATTAGACAACTTTGTCCTGACAGGAACGGAGCACCAGCTGTCATCGCTGATTATTTTAGAGTTACTACTAAACCCTCTGTACGGCAGGAACTGCCACACTGTTCAAGGCAAATAGAAAGTCTTCACATTTTAGCATGACAGCTCCAGAGTCATCCACCCTCCTTGTGTTCATTATTATCAGTCGTATGAAGGACGCGGAGGTGGCATCCTGACAGTCTCACAGGGAAAAAAGCAGACCCTTGTGACTACCCAGTGGGGATATGAAAGCCCCTGGGGCTAAGCAAAGCCCACTCCCTCCAGGAAGCCCCAGGAGAGAGACCACCAAGGCAGGGGCTGCTCTACAGGTTTTTTTCAGGTAAACATCTTTCCTCAGAGAAAACAGACCTTGGAGCAACCAACTAATAAGAATGCCTGAGTACTAATGATGACTAAGCCTGGCTGTCATTGGCTAACCAGAGTGACATCATAGTTCCCCTTCTATGACCCAATAATGCTGCCAGCATTGAAAAGGCAGGGCCCTGGGCTGAGGCTCAGACAGAGAGAAATTTCACCAAAAGCGGAGTACCTTCTGGATTACTCCTGGGGTGCGGAGACGGAAGTCTCTGCTATCCAAATTGCGGGGATCCAGACAGGGAAATCATGGTTATATAAACATGGGCAAAGAAATTCATTTAAGGCCCAAGGTGAACATCTCCTCTTACATCCACTTTATGCTGAATTACAGGAAAAAATTCAAGAAGCAGCAGCCAAATGCCTTCTTTGGCTTTAAAGAGTTCTCTAGAATGTGTTCAGAAAAATGGAGATCCATCTCGAAGCATGAAAAGGCGAAGTACGAAGCCCTGGCCAAGCTCGACAAAGCCCGGTACCAGGAAGAAATGATGAATTACGTGGGCAAGAGAAGGAAGCGGAGAAAGAGGGACCCGCAGGCGCCCCGGCGGCCCCCCTCATCCTTTCTTCTTTTCTCCCTCGACCACTATGCCCAGCTGAAGCGGGAGAACCCCAACTGGTCAGTGGTGCAGGTGGCCAAGGCCACTGGGAAGATGTGGTCCTTGACATCTGATGTGGAAAAGCAGCGGTATGCGCAGACGGCTGCTATCCTGCGCGCTAAGTACTTCAAGGAGATGGAGGCCTACCGCCAACAATGCCGGGGCAGCAGGAAGAAGTGCTTTCGGGGGTTGGCCAGGACCAGAAAATAGAAAATAAATGTCATTGACCTGTCACTGCTGGCCCTAGTGTCCTATGTGGTGTTGGTGTCTGAGGGGCTTGGTTGAGAGGACCAGCTGGGAAGTGGTCCTGGGGAGGCAGGGGAGACTGCCATTCAGATAGGGTGGCTTCAAGAGACAGGGCTGCAGGGTCCAAACTGCCTGGCTTGGCAGGTAGGATGGAACCAGAGGTGTGAGAAACTGGGATTCATTCTGGTCAGAGGAGCCTCCTTGGATTGGGGTGAGGTGTAGGAATACCAGGCCCAACTCTGTGAGGAGGATGGCAGACTGGGAACTCAGTTCAGGTGTGGGAATGCTGGACCAGACGAGATGGCAGGCCAGGAGCCTCGTCCAGGCGCTCATTCCAGGCCCCAGCAGGGAAGCAAGCTCCATCAGGAACTCATTCCACAAGCAGGGACCCATCCCACAAGAAGGACCAAGAATGAGGTGGGGGGCTGAACTTCTAAATTTATTGACTAGCTGGCATCCATTCCTCTCCCTCTGAGTCATACAGCTCCTTCTGTGACCAAGTCAGGGTGACTAGCACCTAAGCTGGTGGAGTAACAGCCTGACTCATAAGAGGGTCAAACCCCAATCTGGCCCCCTTCTCAAGTCTGGCCCCCTTATGTCTTAAGGGAATTGTGCTGTCTGTCTGGCCAGGCCATACAGTAAAGACAGGTGCACTTTGATTTTCTTTACCACTCTATGCGTACTGCTAAAACTGTTTAGTTTGGATTCCCACATGCCAGGCCCATGTGACGGTGGCTGCTGTGAATTAAAACCCATGCGAGAACCTTCCAGTGACAGAGGAGGACCTGACATAAACCACAGCACTAGGAGCCATGGCCATGAACGTGAATGCACAAAGTGCTGGGGGACAGAAAGGTCCGCCCCTGAAGTGTGTCATGGGCAGCCCTGTCCTTGCGTTGGCCAAGTCCTCACTCTCCATGACCCACAGCTGCTACTGCAGCAGAGCGAACTCTGCTTCTCAGCCGCCCTCTCAGGAGACACACTCGTTTAAATGCTTCATTGAAAAGACAGAGATCATCAGCCTTAAGTGCTCAGTTTTCTCAAACTGCAACCCACACTCATCCGTTCCCCCACCCCCCATGTCTCCTAGGGAACCACATTCTCTCTCCTGCTACTCAACTGGGGCATGACACCTGTCTTAGGAGTTATCTTAATGACTAAATGAGGTGACACATGCAGTACGTGGCACAATCCTGAACATCTAATAGGTGGAGGATTCATAGTCCTTGGGGTTCACAGTCCCCTCCCGTTAAATGTGGGCAGAGCCTATGACTTGCATCTAATCAATGGTTCCTCTACCTTGTTAACCAACTTGTCCTAGAAGATTTCCTTGCCTTTGGATGAACTGAGGGAAAGTCTCTGGCAGCTGAGATGTCAGGCTAACACAAAGTGAAAAGTGGAGGCTCTGTCCTACAACCCTAAGGAAGTGGAGGCTGTGGTAACCACATGAGCAAGCTGTGGGTCTCCCCAGTTTAGCTACCAAATGAGAACTCAAGCCCCGGTGAAACCTTGGTTGTAGCTTTGTGAGGCCTCAAGCCATGACTGGCAAGTCTAAAGGTGTAAATATTTAGCTCAGGCTGGCCTTGAACTGAGGAAGTTTAGCTACCAAATGAGAACTCAAGCCCTAGTGAAACCTTGGTTGTAGCTTTGTGAGGCCTCAAGCCATGACCGGCAAGTCTAAAGGTGTAAATATTTAGCTCAGGCTGGCCTTGAACTGAGGATCTTCCTGTCTCATCCTCTTCAATCAGTTCATTACTGATGTACCTCCACAGCTGGCAGAGGTGTAGGTGTTCAAACCCTATAAAGGTACACAGTATTAAATTTGTTAGGATAATACATTACTCAGTGGATGCCGGCTGATATCATTCTAGGAGACACTCAGCAACCTTGCTGCCATGCCCAGCTGCTGCCGTACCCAAGCTTTCCATTCCTTTGTCACCCACCCCCGAAGTGTCACAACCCCTTTCCCCCTCTACCTGGTACTGACTAGACCCTAACTCGACTACTACTCTTTAGTGGCTGACTCCAATGGGTCATCTGTTTCTAGCCTGACCTGTTGGACCCTGTTGGGCAGCAACTGCATGATACACCATACTCTAGGACTCTGTGCCACCCCTTTCTGATTTCCTGTGTGATTAATTATGAGAATGCGGGTGGGCAAATCCCTGCAGAAAAAGAGCTCCATCAATAGTCCTTTAAGAAAAAGACAATGGCAGGGTTCAACTCTGTTGGGTTCTAATGACCAGGACACACAACATGGAGGAACCAAGAGAAAAGGGGAGGAGTAAGGCGCTTGCACCGAGCATGATGGGTGAGAGGAAAACACGCAGGTAGGTCATCTCGTGAGGTCCCCTTCCCCGGGAAGAGAGACATGAATTCATGTAACTCTTTTGACAGCAACATACCAGTAACTATTCTGGTGCTAGGGACAGATCAAGGGAGGAGGAGATGGACAAATATGTCAGCCAACGTGCCAGAGCAGCTTTTGAAAGTGACAAGATGAACAATGGCAGGGAGAATGGAGGGCACTCTGCATGGCCAGAGGGTTTTGGTGCTAGGCTTGGCAAGTTGAGTTTGCGATCTAAGTGCACTGGGGAACTGCAGAGGGCTTTCAGCAGGGGTCAGAGGAGCCATGTGCTTCCATCTATGATGTCTGTTATTGATCATTCTAGAGCCTTCAGAGAACATCAAGTGCCAATCTCCTACAATGACTGCGGGAGGAAGAGCAAGGCTGGAAGATGGCAGGCTAACAAAGGCATGTTCTCCTCCAACAGCAGAGATAATGAGAGGCCTCCACTGGGAATTCCTCAAAGCAGTCATAAGCTAAAAGCTCTGTGTGAAAACTGTTGGATTGCTCTCTCTGTGATTCACTGTCCCCAAAATGGAGGCTGAGTGGGCATGGGGTAGCAGAATGTTCCAGAGAAACACTTCATCCTGGCCCTCACATGTCCTCAGTGGGTAAGTTGAACTGGTCCAGTCCTACGTTTGATCCTCCCTTCCTCTTTCCCTCCCCGCACAGCACTCAGGTCTGCCTGCTGGTCAGTTCCTCAGTAACAAAGCAGACCCTCCTTTGGCTTTTCCCAGGGCTGCCTATTGATTCCTTGCTAGAGAGGGAAATAAGTGTATTTCATTTATTGGGTTTCCCTCAAATCCCAACAGAGAAGTGGATCAAGGTTGTCATTCAACCACAGTGGGATCTTATTGTTGGCTTCAGCCTCTACTAAAACTGCAATCGAGGGACAAAAGGCCCAGTTCCCAGGCCTGTAAAGGTGGAGGTCAGGTCCAGACAGGGTGGAGTCACCAAGGTGACATCACAAAAGTATTGGCACCCCTTTGTCCTGTCATGTAACTTCTCAACACACTTCTGCAGAAACACTGGCCTTCGAGTGCACTGAGGATAGCCAGGGCTGCTGTTGTAGATAGAGCTTGTTGTGTGGGAGTGCCCTGGGAATGGGGGTGAGGGCAACACCATAAGGCAACAGAAACAGCTAAAGGCCAAAGGGGCCGGCTGTGACATCCCGAGGCTGTCCCTGACCTCTGGGTTGGATTACAGTCACAATGAGCATCATGTTGGAGACCCTCCCCAACTGCTACAGGGTTTGCTCTCTCTCCACCCAGGGCTCCCATTGCAGTCACCATTGTTCCCACTGACTGGGTGTGCTTTTAAGATTCTCCCATTTAACAGTGAAACACTGCCTGGTCGCCTGTCACTTGTGGGAGTCGGACATGACATAATCAGGCCATGGAGGCCTCAGCAGTCACGCTGTCCCAGAGCCTGTGAGATGCTCTCAGTGACTCCACTGATATTTTCAGCCTGTGTTACCCCTCCCCTTCTGGCGTGGACTGAATTTAGAGACTCTGTTTCAATAAAGGGAGCAGCATAGAAGTATTAGGATACCATTTGTGTGTGTGTGTGTGTGTGTGTGTGTGTGTGTTGCACATGCTACATCTGTGTGTGGAAGCCAGAGCACAATCTTGAGTGTCATGTCTCATGTGCTGTCCATCTTTAAAAACTTATACAGAGTCCCTCACTTTTGCCAACTGTCTGCCTGTCTCTGCCTCTCCAATGCTGAGATTTCAAATGTGTGCCACCATGCCCAGTTTTTAAAAAAATCTGAATTCTGGGGATCACACTGAGATCTTCACCAGCTGAACTATCTTCCCAACCCCCAGGGTGCCATTTTTTATACTGGGCTATTAAAGCCTGTGACTCTCTCTAAGTCTAAGGCTCCTCTCTCTTCCTTGCAACGGACATACTAAAAACTACCCTTGAAGAAGTTCATGACACAAGCAACAGAAAGTAGATGTGGTGGGCATACAATGGGAGCTGAGCCACCTGGTCCAGTCTACAAGGAGCTGAGACTTACCAAGAACGAAGAAAGAGCCAGGGAGCAGATCTTCCCCAGGTGAGAACTGAGCTCTCTGTAGCCCCGGGATCCTCCTGTGCTGCAGCTTGTGACCCAGTTAAGATGCACTCAACTCCTGACATACACAACCTAAAAGGTGTTTCAGGTTATTTGTTATCCTCTGGCATAGGTAGTGAATATAGACCTATGTAAAAAGTGAGATGGCTTTGGAGCCAGATGGTTTGTGGGCAGAGGCCAGGAGTGCTTTGGGAAAATGGTTGGAGTGTCTAGTTGTCACAAGGAGACTTGGGAAAACTGGACTTAGAGGATGCTGCCTCTGGGGGCTCAGCAAAGTGAGGAACATGCATTAGAGACTGGGAAAAAGAACTGGAGGGCGGGCACAGCTGTTAAAGGCTCAGGTTCACAAGCAAAAAGACAAGAAACTGGAAGATATGGATCCTTTTTGTGGCATAGAGCTTTGGGACACTGTTGTCTGTGGTAATATGGCGAAGGGAACCTATGCCTGACTCAGCTGGCCATCTACTGTGGACACATCCAAGTGTTGGATTGGATTTCTTTCTGCTTCCTTGAGAAAAGGGGAAATCCTGCAACAGAAAGATGTGGCTCCTTTGGAAAGCTCTGTCTTATGAGAGCAAAAGACACCAAACATCAGGAAAGAGTTTTTGAAGGGATTGTTTGGTGTCAAAGCTGAAGTTCGGATGGTATAGCATCTGGACAAGACTTCAGAGGACCAGAGGGTTGTGGAGCCCCTTAGAGATCGCGGGCTCTTCCAGATCAAGGGGTGCTGTGAGAGCCAAGGT